CCTATACTGTTATCCATTTTTTGTGATTGGCCTATACAATTGTACATTTTCCTCTGTAAATCATGGTAGTGGCCTTTGACAAAAGCTTGATGTTGGCTAGGTAGAAACAAGACTAAAGCAAGACAGGGCAGAAGATCAAAATGATGACCAAGTACATGAACAATCCACAGGTAAAACATTAAAACAGAGAAGGGAAATATCTGGCTCCCCAGAAGTTTTGGTTGTCAACTCACAAAAGGTTCCAGACAACACCTTGCACTGGCTAGGATATCCCAAGGTCAGCCCAGAGTATCCTGGTTTTATACCCCAGTTCTGGTGTGGAACATGCTGGTCATCATCCGGACTGCTTGCACCAAAACCATGTTTCAGGCCATGTTTCAACCAAACAGGACCCTGCCAGAATGAGGCAGGGGAGAATGAGCCTTTTGGCCCATGCAGACAAGGTCACAGCCAGCCGTAAGGGATTGTGTGAGTTTGGGTTTAAAACATCTGTAGAACCAAAGATATTCAAGCAATGCACTAAATGCTTGCAAAACTTCTAACCCTTTTAATGGAGCCTGTATAGAACTTCCTCACTGACTGTGCCAGTGATTTTTTTTAAAGGAGAAGTCTTTGAGCTTGGCAAGCATATTTTACTATAAAAATTAGGGGGCTTGGCTTTAACCAGAACCCAGGTCTCCCATGCTGTTACCATAAATACCTCAGATTCTGCTACCTGTCTTACTTTGCTTCTTGATGAAGCTGCCTCTGAGAATTGTGGGGTTCCTATTCCCAACATTCTATGCTTCCAACTGAGAAGTATTTCATTTTGTTAAAACTTTTAAAAAGTAAAAGAAAAAGCAAGAGAAGTTTGCATACAGTTAAAAACTGTGTGTGGTGCCAAGTGCTGCACCTTTTAGAAAAACTCGAGTCTAGCACTACCTAGAGGCAGATGCAGAACCAGTTTGGGAACTATCATAATGAGAGGTGAGGGAAAGGTCCTGACAAGATGCCATCACTCGGAACAATGCTAGTCTGCCAGGGCCTACACAGACATATTCTTGGCATTTGTTCTTACTGTAATCATGTACCAGGTCTTTGGAAATCAGATTATGTCTGTGAAAAGTCTCACACTTTGCTTTCTTGATAAATGCTGACATGAAAGGGCTGCAACATCAAGGTTGTGCTTGCCTGAAGGAGAGGTCTTTGAGCTTGGCAAGCATATTTTATTATAAAACTGAGGGCTTCTTGCCTATAACCAGAAACATGGCACTCCCAAGGAAAATCCACTGAGTCATTGAGGCAGAGTCTGTGACTTCACTGTTTGGAGAGATGTATGACAAGATATGAATAAGATGTCATAATTCCATGGCACTGTAGAAGAGCATGTTCTTTTGTTGCCCAGTTATATGAAACTGGGCCATCATGTCTCAGAGGCATGCTTTTCTCACATCAGAACTCAAGTGTGTGTGTATGTGTTTTGTAAGATGCATGATAACAGGCGAAAGTGTGGGTCCATTAGAAAAAGAAATCACCAGTTTGGTGATTTTTGATATTTTTTTCTTGGTATTATTGAAACTTATTAAAGTGTGTTTTAATCTAACTATGAATATTGTTTAGTGGGCATAATACACAAAAATTTGTCACTAAAGACACCTTTGGGAGGAGTTTTGCACTGCTAAAGCAATTGATATACAAAATGCTGGTTCGGAAATCATGCTAACCCATACATGAATCAGTCAAAGCAAGCTCTGAGTCCACACACTCCCCTATGTTGCTCTGGCCTAAGTGCAAGAAGATATTTCAAAGTTTTCACTTCCATTAGTGACAGCTTGCTATGTCAGCTGAACTGAAGTCATGGTATACCTTAAAAATTGTTATTTTGAAAGAAGGCAACTTCAAGACATTGTCTATGAAGATGGATTACTTCATAGGGTTCCTATCAGACTTGGGGAAAGGTGTTTTGGGTTGTCGTTTTTTGGACTACAACTTCCAAAATTTCCCAGCCAGCATGACCAGTCTGGTTCTGGGAGTTATACTTTCCTAATTTTTGTTCAGAGGGATACTGCACTGTAATTAATCTAAAATGGAAGTAGAAACTTGTGATCTCCTCCTCACAGCCATACCAATATAGCTGAGAGGCAATACAGGTTAGCTCTTGTATAACATCAAAAGAATGCTTTTACCACTGTTTTTTTACAGCACAGGTATAAAAGCAAAGGAGCTGCCTTTTTAGTCCTCTGAGTGGCCACACTTCATGAATGTTTTCCTGGCTTCACTATCTCTCATCCATATTTGGACTTACTTTCAAGTTTTTGCCTTCACAGTTTGGGGCCCTTGTCAAGACTTATACCTTTATGTGTCTGCTAAGGTACAAAGCTCAGCAGCTAATATCCTCTTCTAAGTTCCCTCTGCATCCAAAGTGTGAATTTTTCAGAATTGCTCACCTGGGACTTGTGCTAATATCATTTTAACATTATGTACCATCAGCCCTAACTAGCATCACCAGTGGTTGAAGATGATGGGAGTTGCACGCATCCCCCCCCCAAAAAATTCCTACCATAGAGACAAAAACTTCAAAGTCAAAATGGTAACTGGTACCACACAAATTACCAGTATAGGAACAGTGAGGAAAAAATTACATCACAAGGGGATAACTTGTTCATATAACAAAACTCATAAGCAAACTTTCTAATCTGAAATTGCCAGAGCTTTTCACTGCATATTCAGAAACATGTGCTGATGTCAACAGATCTTTTCAAACCAGTTCAATTTGCCCTCTGAATCATTGGTTCCTTTCCATTTTGAGCTTAGTAAAATTATTTCTGGACTATAGCTCCCAGTATTCCTCCACTAGCACAGCCAGTAGCAAAACTGGTTTGAGGATTCTTTCAGCCGTAGTTCAAAAACCACCCCTACTATCCCTCGTTCTGCCTTTACCTGAGTTTTCCGGCCATCTATCGTATCTTCATCAAACTTCTCCCCCAGTACGAAGCTGAACTCTGATGTCTTGAAAGTGCTTTCTGTTTTCACTATATATTTATTTCCCTCTCTACTGATGGTGATGTCTGGCTTAGCCATGCTTCCCAGCTTCCTCATAGGCATGCTCACACCTGCCAAAGAAAAAGAAAGGAATCTATTAGATAGGGTCAGCAAAGCACAGGCATGATGAAGCCACATGCAAAAAATATTAGCCAACTTTGTAATGAGAAAGGAGTACGGGTAATCTGCTGAATCAGCTGAGGCATTGCAGTATCTCAGGTAACAGGATGCTCATTAAAGACATTTTAATTTAATTCTTCCCAACAGGACCAACAGGTCTTGCTCAAGAACTTACCATATTACAACAGGGGTTTTGCCCAAGGTATGATTACATTATATTATATTGCCCTTCAGAAAATGGATTTAATTCAAAATTGGGGGAATATGTGTATCTACTGCACTGCAGTAAGCTTAGAAAGAAATCTTGTGAAATCAAAATATTGATTTTCTTCAACATAATCTCTTGAGATCAATTTCTGAAAAGAGAAACATTTAAATACAAATTGGAAGTGTGATCCTATAGTCAAACTGCTGAATTCAACAGGAATGACGTCTTAAAAATAAAGATGAAAGAAAGCAATCAGCAGGAGCTGGCAAAACATCTGGCTTTTAGCAGAAACCATATATTATCTTGCTGGACTTTGGTTATTTAACTACAGGGCTCCTGTTTTCATTCTCTTCAGACAGATTTTGACATTATGCCATTTCATGCCCTGATACTCAGATTCTCAAATTATACCTCAAGTCTACTAGTAAGGAAAATAAAGCTTCATTTTCCTACATGCTTATTCATCACTTGATGTGTGCAATCTCAAATGATGACTTTCATCATACACAATTAATTGCAAATAGATTTCACAGCAACCCAAAACAGTGCTTTAGTGAATCATAAAGAGTGAATCAGCAAATGACCAATAAAGTACTGAGACAAGTACACACACCCGCAATTCGCCCAGTGCTTTTAAGGAAGCATGGACTTTCTGAACTGACAACAGAATTGTTAAAAAAAGTTTTTTTGTTCTTCCTGCTCCCCAAAGAAAGAGTACAATAACAATCAAACACCACTCTAAATCCATGGTGAAGTAGCTTCACTATGGTCTTTATTTGTTGGACAAGAACTGAGTGAACCCCTAATCTGAACAGATTGGTGTGTAAAGTATAAAAGGCCCACACTATTTGTGATTCCACAGGTCAAATGTCGCACACCAGTGCTTGACAACCCATTCACATACCCTGCAACTGAGTTCCAAATTATTTCATTGGCAATCCACAATTCCTGTGTTTTTTTTTGCCACTCAGTAGCATGTTGTGCTTATTCTGCAGTCCTAACTCGTCAGTCCTTGCATGAGCAAGCCATTATATTGAAGAAGCATTGCTATTTTCAGCACCACAAAGCAAGTCTCTAGTCCTTAAGGGTCCAAATGTAGGTATGGAATGCCATAAGGTTAGGAATGAGAGTACAATCTACCTTTTTGGCCTCCTGCCCCAAAGGAGCAGAAACAAAATAAATTTTCTATAGAATATGCAAAGATATGCAAGTTTAAGTTCTTTGTTTATTTTATACAGGTCACAACATTTGTCTTAATCTGCAAAATGTTGAATTCAGCACAAAACGTACACAGTCCTGTCCAAGAGCCATCACGGAACTATGTCTGCATTTTAGTGAAATTAATCCACAAGGACAGACAGAAGAAAGATTCTAACAAAACAGCCGGATGTTAATTCAGGGATTTGTTGTTCTTTCCAACTTCAGCCTCAGCTGGAGCTACTGCTTTCCAAACATAGCTTAAACTTGGCAGATCTATCAATGCAGCACAAAACTATTCATTGCTAATCTGGTTAATGTACCATTTAATTTATTTGGTAGGGGTTCAGGAAGCTGGATCACTCTGGCATCTTTCCAGTCTTGCAGCAAGACTTGGACTCTTAAGGTGCAATGTTTAGATATTAATTTAGAATCGGGTACTTTGTGAAAGAGAGCCAGTGTGGCACATGGTTTTGAGTGTTGGACTACAACTCTGGAGACCAGGGTTCGATTCCCACCTCGGACATGAAACCCACTGGGTGACCTTGAGCAAGTCACATGCTCTCAGCCTCAGGGGAATGCAATGGCAAAACCTCTCTGAACAAATTTTGCCACGAAAATCTCAGGATAGGTTCACCTTAGGGTTGCCATAGGTCAGAAATGACTTGAAGGCACACAACAACTCTGCGGAAATTAGGGTACTGCTGTACTTGCCAACAGTCTAATAAAACATAAAACATGTCTGTTACGTTGGGCCTTCCAGCTTTCATTTTTCCACTCCCTTGACTAAGCTGGCTGGGGCTGATGGAACTGAAGTCCAGCAAAATAGGGAGGGCCACATTGCATTATAGTATTTTAGGGTTATTGCCAGCTGCTCTCCTTCTAGAATCAAACAAAATCTCCAGGAAGGAGCAGCTCTGTCTCACTCACTCCCCCCCCCACCTGTTATAGTTCTCCCTCTCTTCTTCAGCCTACCTCCTCCTCTCCCATCACTCACTCATACACAAGCTTTTCATATACCGTTTTGTGCAAAAAGTCTGGGATCTGCCTCCTGCCCCCACTTAGCAGTTTGAAACAAATACCCATTTGTCTGCCTGTTGCTAAAAGCAAACCAGAGGATCCCTCTGCAGACCTTGGACAGAGCATTCGGTCTCCCAGGAGCTGAGAAAATGAGTCACAAAGCTCCTAATCCCAGATCCTCTCATGAACTGCAAGCAACAGGCATGTCCTTCCCACAGAGGAAAATTCATTCATTCCCATTTTCGCTTCTGAGTCCTTTACTGTCTGTGTATGCCATTGTCTGTGCATCTTTTAGAGAAAGAGTGGGAGGTGCATACTCAGGAATAAAAGAGCATTTGGGACATGGATGACACTTAACAGAACTGTACACATACACAACACAAACACTGCTGGCACTGTACCACATACACAGATGGTGGCAAGCATGGAAGAGAGGGAGCCACAGAATCTTTTCAGCCACAGACACAATCAATAATTCATTTAATTCAAAGCAGCCATTTTAAGAGATAAGGCAACATGTCAGCAGGATCTGTAGCAGAGCTTTTGGCTGCGATCCCTACGTTTAGAGATGCACAAAATCCAAATGTTCAGGCCGATTACCCACAATATAACCAAACGACAAGACTGGAATGTGTGACTCTCTGGCTGCAAAATGCACACTGCCTGTGCATGCATGTCCATTGAGAACAAAACATAAAGCTCATCCACTTATGTGCTTAACTCATCATTCTCCCAGCATCCTGATATATACACATTTTAAAACCCCTATTCTACTTTTTTCCTTTCCTTATTTCCACATTTGATCCTATTACCAAGTTTAAAAATTCCGGTTCTCTTTTTTGTGGGGGCCTAAAAGGAAACATCAAGCTCATCTACTTATGCACTTCACTCTTGTTTCCCCCAGCATCCTTATAGAAACATTTTAAAACTTATTTCCACATTTTACCTGATCACAAAGTTTAAAACTGCAGTTCTCTCTCTCTCTTTTTAACATATAATTAATTCCCTCTCTCCATCATGCAAGCTCTTTCTTCATTTATTTTCCTTTTCTGCCCACCTTTACCCAGGGTGACCCACAGATGCCCAATAACTGCAAAGGAGGACAAGGCACTGCGAAGTGTAGAACATTGCAAGAAAAATGGAGGACATGCCCAATTAAAATGCTGAAAACATTATCCTATTAATAAAGTTATTAAAAAAATATTTTAAAAAAATGCTGAAAACACACATATCAATATAAATGCATGCTTCTTAGTCATGCTTCGAATGGAGTACATTTCGGAATTGCTCCTGGACAGAAGGTGCAAATGGAGGGCAGGTCCTGGAAAAGGAGGCTATCTGGTCACCCTGGAGATGACCAAATGAAAAGCTAAAAACACCCATGAGAGATAGAAATGCATGCTTCTTTAGTCATGCTCAAAAATGGAGGACACTTTGGTATTCCTTCTGGACAGAAGGTGGAAATGGAGGGCAGGTCCTGGAAAAGGAGGACGTCTGGTCACCCTGGAGATGACCAAATGAAAAGCTAAAAACACTCATAAGAAATAGAAATGCATGCTT